CCCCCCCCCCCCCCCAAAAAAACCCCCAAACAAATCTTGTCTTTTTTTATACCCTACCATAAAAGTTTGCTTCTCTGTCTGTGATAGTGTTATTTCATTATATAATTGGGTATATCATGTTTGCATCTCCTGTAAATTATGATAGTATTGTGACCTTTTTCAGAAAGTTATACTTGGTATTCTGTGGGTAGGTGGTGACAGTTTTTAAAGGTTGATCATGTCTACATAAGGGACATTCATTCAAGAATGATCAAGCTGTCATAGATGGTGCTTAAAAACTTATACAAGTAAAAGTAGTGTTGTCAGGTGAAGGAGCTCCAAAACAGCTTAAAACCATTTTGTTCAGAACCCTCTGTTCTTTTAATTGGTGTCTAATTTTACAGTAATTGAAAAATTAGAGAAAATGTTTTAGTTGGTGCATTTGCCACTGTTTACTTTTTAATTCTTTCCTTTTTATATTCAGTTAGTTTCCCCTGCTGTGTCTTTCATATAGGAATGGAAAGAAAATTTAAAAAAAATAAATAAAAAGGAAGAATGATTGTAAAGCCTTTTGAAAACTTGGAAGGAAATGCTAGCTACCTGAATCTGCATTTATTGCCCTTTTTGAATTTTAGTAGATGTCATGTAGATGGCAGTTCTTTAAAGTTACCCAGGTGGTTTGGTTCCAGATGCCTTTGTTGCTTAAAGCTTTTTTTTAGTTCCCTATCCCTTTGCAAGTTTTAATTTTTCTTGTCTAGTTTTTGATATTTTTTTTGAGTGGGGGTATCACTTTGAAAACTTGTATCCTAGAGTATTAAAGGGGAAAAAAATCTTCATCTCTTCTTTTTTTAGTTCTACTTATTTATGTGCTTTTTTCATGGCCTGCTAAAGATGTTTTGATTTGATTAGCATTATTTGGAATTACAAGCAAGAGGTTATGCATGACTGGTGATTTGTAACAAACAGTAGTATCTTGATTTTGGGTTTTTTAACTGAGCATCTCCAAAGCTTATATCTGCACAACATGTAAATATAGAATTTAAAGAGGTTTCCTTCATGGTACAGGTAAATATGTACATGATAAATAGTAAATATGATCTATGAGGCCTTTTTGTCACACAGTTTTTAAACATCATGTAGGGGCTGTGCCTCATTCAGTATATAATATTGTAGTCAGAATGGGGCATAACTGTGCAGAAATCTTTACTGCATATAGATATTGTGGTGCACATTTCCATTGTTTCATCTGTATCCAAGTAATGCATTTTTTTTTTTGCTTTTTTTCTTAAGAACATCCTCCTCTCCCCAGGTTTCTGTACAGAAAAGCTGTTAAAAGAATAATTGAAATCAGGAAATAGTTACTCTTTCACTTAAACTTTTATCTGCCTACTTTATATGTAATAACACTTGGGTATACTATATTTCTTGCATACAACACACACCTTTCCCCCCAAAAATTAGTTCCTTGAAATTAGGGTGTGTTTGTTAAGCAGGAAATCTGATTGTCTGACCAGGACAGAAGTACGTTCCTTTGTTTCCTGCTCTGTAGTGTAGCAACTGCTGTATTACTATTCAGGCACCTGGGGGAGGGTCACTTGATTTAATACTTCTGGAGTGAAAAACAGTGACCCATTAACTATCATCTCTCCTTTTTAATGGTCTAGATGTTCCACTAATCAAGCTAACCTTTCTTAGAGCAATTTTGCTGTTCTACTAGTTGCTTTTGATCTCCCTCTTCCTGCTTCATATTCATTGAAAATCTAGCTCTTTTCAGAATCATAGATCTACCCATGGAAACCAGTCTTCAGCAGCAGCTAGGGGTTCAGTTCAGTTAAGCAGGAAAGGGAAGGTGAGTCAGATTAATATTAGTCTCTGTCCCTGCTCTAGGCAGCCATAACTCTGGAAAAAATATTTTTTTTTCTTCATTCTGCTTTTCAAGAGCAAGATGTACATTTTATTTGGGGTACGCGGCGCTCAAGAAAATGGGGTATATGTGTATAAATTTCCCAACTTGAAGTAGCATGCCATAGCTGTTGTTTCTTGAAGTGCAAAATAGCTATTTGTTTTTAATTTTTTCTTTCATATTTTAAAGAAGAAAGAAGATTAGATATAGATGAGAAGCCCCTTGTTGTACAGTTGAATTGGAACAAAGATGACAGAGAAGGGAGGTTTGTTCTCAAGAATGAAAATGATACACTTCCTCCAAAGGTAAGGATAAGAAACTGTTGAACTAAGTGATGTTTACACTTAGGAAAGTGCTGTTGAGATTTGTGGGACTTGATCAAAATAAAAAATAATTAGATTTATAAAAATGCGGGGAAAAGTGATGCTTATTATTATGCTATAGGTGTTCAGGCATATACTGAAGTACTCAAGGTATTTAAATATTTTAAGATAACCTATGGAATAATAAGAGAGCAGTGGAGGCAGATTCAAAACCTACAAAAACTTCATAATGAATGTTGTTCCAGGAGCTTCGTCTTGCTTATGTAACTGGGATTTCAGTAAGACTAGTTCTGTGGTCAACTATGGCACAGGGAGAGACTCAAAGCTTTGAGTACTAGGCCACAATCTATATAAGACTTTTATGATATTGGTTTTAAACTTAAACTTTACTTGGAAATTCGTAGGTAGCTAGTGAGGTTATGGATAATTGGTCCAATGTGATAACACCTGGAAGGCTTGTCACAGTTGCGTACTAGCTACTCTTTCTATTAAAAAGGTGCAACCCCAGGAAGAGTACACTGTGACTTAGTGTTTAGGGCTATTTGAGTTTGTGCCTAAGGTCAGAAAAAATTTCTTGTGAAGGTAGTTGGATGAGTTTACCCTGATCTGATTATGGTCAGTTAATTTCTGTCAATGGAGTGCAGACTTCACATTCTTTTTGAACGTGAAGCTTGTTTTGATAAAAAGGTGGACAAAGGCACAAATGACCTTTTTAGAAAGTAAATGTTACATTTTTTAAGCTTGTCATTAACAGTATGAATATTGATGTTGGTAATTCCAGCTCCAGTTTTAATTTATCAGCTTGGCAAATGTGGCACATTTTATTACAGGTGTGTAATTTAGACAATTTAAGTGTTCCCACAGCAAAATTATGAATTTGTTCCAGCATCTTAGGCTTATGCTTAATTTAACCTAAAACTCTGAAAGCTACAAATTGCAAAACCATCCCCATCACAGTATCAAAAATGAAGTGGAGAGGGGAGATGTTAAACTGCTCCCATCTAGCCAGCCTCTTCCACTTTCCTGTATGGATTGCTGGGTCAGAGGCAGACCTGGAGTTTCATTACTGTTGTTTCTAACTCCAATATTGTTTTGGTGTTACTTTCTTCTTCAATTTTGGCATAACCTTAACAGGAAAAGATTCGCAAGGAAACGATCTTTCCTGAAGAGAGCTACTGAGCCTATACAAAGAAAGAGAGGAATTTTTCATGTGCATCTGAATGAAAAGACAGGAGTGCACATTATACACTTACTGTATATACGACAAAACAATCACAGGCTTTCATTCAACTTTTATATTCCATGAAAAAACAAAAGGGGAGTGTAAAACTAAGCTGCAGGAGGTAGTCTCACTTAATTGAGATGGGTTTGGTAATCACAAATTGTGGAAGTGGGAAATTAGTTGGATACCTTACTTATTCATTATTAAATTAAGGTATAGAAAATGGAGAATTTTTTAGGTGGAGTTTTTGTAAATATTAGCTAAACTCCACAAATAGTTTTTTAACCTATAGTCTTTTTGACCATGTTTTGTATGAGAACATAAAGATTTTAAATATTTTTGGCTAATTACGTAATATAGAAATATCTAGAGATCTAGAAAATGAGACATGCAATAAGAAGCTGGAAGAGGGACTCTTTTTAGTTTGGAAAAGAGATTGACTGGGTATTTGATAATGGTTTTCTAATAGAAAAATGGTTGTTACAAAGAGGATGGTGATCAACTTTTCAAAGAGTAGAGGTTGCCTAAAGAGATGGTAGAATCTCTATCATTGGGGCTCTTGGAATGCATGTTAGGCAAACACTTGCCTAGGCAGGCTTAGGTAGGGGTGATTTTGCTGCAGAGGGGAAAAACAGCTTCCTTGCAACCATATTTTTTTCTGTGATTAGATGTAGTTATTTTTCTTCTTAATCTTCCTCAATTTTTAAATTGCTTACCCCTGCTGATTGATTTATTCTTGGGCAGAACCCTTGCTTAAAACCTTAAACCAACAAACCAGGGGCAGTGGTTATCATCATTGGTCAGCACATAATCATGAAATTAAGGGATGATTGTTTGTAGTGTCATAATTCAAAGCCAGAATGGGCCACTGGGTCATGTAGACTGTCCATCTGAATATTACAGACCGTTAATTTTACCCTGCGTTGAACTTAGTGGATTGACTAAAACACAGTTGTGTTTTTAAGTGGTTTAAGCATATCTCCAGAAAGGTATTCAATCTCGATTTGAAGTCAGCGGGGGGTGGAGAACCCATGATTTCCCTGTGTGGTTGGTTCCAGTGGCTAATCTGTGACTGACTAAAAATTGTGATTTTGGTCCTAATTATACCTTTCCCTGGTAGATTAAAGAGCCTGTGATTTTTGCCTGATATTTTCTACCCATGAAGGTACTTGTATACTGTAATCAAGTTACCTTGTAATCTTTTTGATGATGTAAACAGGTGGAGCTCTGAGTCTTGGATTTTGTTTGCTGTAGTCTATGCTGCAAAACCTGCCTGAGAAGCTAGACTGCAGCTGGTACTCACACTTCCTAGTTAGGCTTAACTCAACTGTGCCCACATTTACATTGTAGCCACTGTGACTGACTTCACTGTAGACATTCTGCCCTGTAGCAAGGCGGGCAGCTCTTGAATCAGTTTCGAGGCTCTTTGTCCCCACATTGTTGACTAGTCTTATTGCCTAGTGGGAAACTTGTGGGTTTTTTTGTTTTTTTTTTTGTTTTTTTGTTTTTTTTGAATAAGCCTTTTTTACTTTAGTGAGATGGTGGAGTAATTACCATGATTATATCCATGAGCGAAATATACTAGAAAGTAATTTTTCTTCTTCCAGACCCTTAATATGTCACTCAGGAAATAAAACTATCAGCAAGGGCTACTTGAAAAATGCTTTCTGTGGAAATAATTTTTCAAGAAAATTCTCTGTATTTTGTCATAAAATAAATTTATCTTTTTTACCAAAATGAATTTTTCTTGTTTGGGGTGTTTATTTCTTTGTCATTTTTACCAAATCATAGGAGAAAAGGAGAGTCTAGAAACAAACAAGAGTGTCTTTTTTTTCCTATTCAATACAAAGCATTGTGAAATTTTGGATTTTCAAGTAAAGTTTCTCTGGCTTACCCCCTGTTCAAAATTGGTTTCAGGGGGTGTGGGTAGAATCAGTCAGCTCTACTACTACTCATGTTTTTCATGCCATACTTTAAGGTTGCTATAGAAGTAATATTGCTGTAGTAGTAATGTAATCTCAAGTGCTGCATACTTGACTTAACTTGTTTGTGTTTGAAAAATCTGTAGATCCAGTTAGGCAACTTTTTTACCCAACTTGATTTGTAATAGCTATGGGCTTGTCCTTGCTGTCTGAAGCTTTGAGTCAAGTTTTGCCCCTGCACTGACTCTTAGCCCGGTACACAGATGTATATCTTGAGCTGAAGTGGTGCTTTAAGCTCGAGTGAGCTGCTTCAGTGAAGGGGAGAGCCTGAATGGGTTGATCTTGAATGCCGTTGATGTTCGATCTAGTAATGCAGTGAGGATGCAGCAGCTTGAGTTAGAACTCATCAGCTGCTAATCTAATTCCAGTATGGTAATCAAATTGTTCTGTGTAGCTAGAATATTTTGCAATGTGGCCTTTCATACTTAAGGTAGTCTGATGGTGGCATTAAGCCCTAAATTGAAAAAGCACAATGTTAAACTCATTGGAGCCTAATGAGCATTATAGTAGCAAGACGTGTTGTTAAGGACTGGGGACAATTTCTACAGTCTGGTAGAAAATACTTACCTTATACTTTTCTTTAAAAAATCCATAAAGGAGAACTACCTTGTGAAAGAGCACTTAATGACCTAAGTCTCCCAACATTAAAATGAGAGGTAAACGTGCTTAGACTCTTATTAAGAGCAGATTGGACTGTTAGTTAACTAATTGCACATTTTTTTTCCATTTGTAGGTTTCTGTATCTTGAATTTTAATTCAAAAAAGAATTTGAACTAATTCAAGGCACTAATGCTTCCAGTATTTTTATGACATACTATAGCTAGCTTTAAATTAGCTTGCTGGCAATGTAGTCATGGCAGCATAGAGCTCAGTATAAGCTTGTGACCTCAGTATTTACCTGGCTTTTTTAGACTGATTTTGAAACTGTGTTGTGGTGACTAAGTACCATGCTAGCTAGTTTGGGTGTGTCTCCATGAGCCAAAGTTGCGCCCTTGACTGCAATGTAGATTTTGCTTGAAAGATGAAAGGATGGGGGGGGCAGAGGAGGGGAGGGGGAGATGATCACATTTGCCTCTGCCATCTACACCCTATAAACTCGCACCCTCCTAAAAAGAAGAAAAAGGAAAAATAAACCTTTTATTATCCTCCCTTTACCCTAGGCTTTTCTGTGCAGTGAGTGTCTGCATATGTAGAACAGAGGGAAAACATAATGCGGGAAATGGATAGGTATAGAACATGGGAAGATGAAAACACATTGCATGGAAAGTGTTAGCCATAATGGTGCTGCTTCTCAAACTTATTTTTGTCTGAGAGCCATGTTGCAATAAACGGGTAGAAGATTAAAGTACAAAACCATTTTTGACAGACAGATGCTCTATAAACATTAATTCATCCTGAGAGTGAAGAAAGTAACATTTTTAAAGATTCAGTTTGAGTATATTCCTTAAATAAGGGGTGCTGAACTTGTTCAGCTTTGCATGTTGCATGACCTAGGAGCTGCTGTTATGGCATGGCTTGGGAACCCAGACAGTCAGCAACTCCCCTGCCCCTCCTTTCCTCTGCCATAGATTGTAGTCACCAGGCATAACTAAAAACCTTGATTTCAGTGGTGTCTAAGGGCAGCAGGGGATGAGTAGAGTTAACTCTTTGGGTTCTAGAGCCGCACTGAAACAGCAGTTCCAGGGATTCGTGTTGGTAATGCAAGGGTTCCAGCAGCTGCACTGATAATCCCCACAGGCCAGATCTAGTCTAAAGATACAGGTGGTCCAGCCTTGCAGTGGGGGCTGGATCCTGTCTAGGGGCTGTCTGACACCCCAGCCTTAAAACATTTGCTCAAATGTACTGTAGGTTTTGAAGCTGTAAAATGAGACTGAATTAATCAAATCTGTTTCTGTGGTTTATAGAAGAACTGACTAGTTTGGTATGATTTACAGAATTTACTTTTGCTGCATTCACTTCAGAGTTCTGAGTCATTTCATATGTTCTTTGGGAAATATGAGTTTAGCCATCTATAACTTAACAATTCATGTCCTTAACAGTTCCTCCTTTCCTGTAATGCAGGGGTGGACAAACTCCAGCCTGCAGACTGGATTGGGCCTGAAGAAGACTGTGTCCCAGCAGCCCCTGGCTACCTCTGAGGCCAGAGACCCCAGGAACAGTGGGGCTGTGAGTGCAGGGCCAGGGTTTCCATGGACACTGCTCCAGGCAGTGAAGGCAGGGTGTGTGGCTGGTGAGGCCCGGGATTTTGCACTGGTGACACCACGAGCAGGAGCTGGGGCAGAGCTGTGATCCGTTACCTGCACACACCTCCCCGAGGCATGTGGGCAGTGGATTGCAGCTCTGCCCTAGCTCTGGCCCACGTTGTCACAATCGCAAGATTCCAGCCCCAGCCCTAGAGCAGCTCCCCACCTAGCCATGTGCCCTGCCAGCACTCCTCGGGCTGGTGTCCACAGAAACCCTGGCCCTGCTTCTGGGAAACCAGCCTGCTTCTCTGCAGTCAGTGCTGGTGGGAAATGGAGGCTGGCTACCAGCCAGATCCGCTATTTTGCCCACCCCTGCTGTAATGGATAGTTTGTTGCTTTTCTTTATGTCTGTTTCCAGTGTGGTATTACTGTTCATCTTAACTAAATCTAGTTTGGAAGTTTGAGATCCCTAGTAACTCCAGTGGACCAATATGCTAAACCAGTTTTAATATGCTAAACCAGTTTTAACTTGATTCATTTCAGAAAGCTCAGAGTAATGGCCCTGAAAAACAAGAAAAAGAAGGGGTTATCCAGAACTTCAAACGAACCCTATCCAAAAAAGAGAAAAAAGAAAAAAAGAGGCGAGAAAAGGAAGCACTGCGACAAGCATCAGATAAAGATGATAGACCTTTCCATGGAGATGATATGTAAGTTTTTTTTTTTTTTTTTTGATCACTTAATACTGCAGTTATCATAATGATCTCAAATTTCACAAGTAAACACTTAGCATTAGGCCATGGTAAGGCAGTCATTCCAGTGGTAATTGGGAGGACCTTTTGTACTCCTGGTACATTTAAAGATGAGATTTTTGTAAGCATCTCCTGAAATCTGCAACAGCAGATTCCTGTCCATGTTCTTTTAACCCCATAAAAAATCCACAACTCTGGTTCATAGTGTAAATAATGAATGCCACACTCATTTTAGGAAATAATTATTTTAAAAAGTGTTGTGTTCTTCAGGCGACCTGGTTCCATTCCCGAAGTCTTTACTCCTGTGATGCTGTCTACATGTGCACCAGCTTAGAGCCTCAGCTCTGGGCTTTTGCCAGGAGATGGCAGAGTTTATAGCTGTCTTCAAGGGCTCTTCTCCTTGGCTCCCCAAGTTTTGTGCAATGTACTTGTTTTTCAGATGGCATCAGTCTACCATTTTGACTTCTCTAGTTGCATGGCTGCAGTTCAAGCTCCCGAATAAGCCATTGCTTAGTTTGTTAGGATGGCTGAAAGAGCTTAGTCCTTGTTGGGAAAACTAGTGGGCAAAAGGCAGGTGTATTTAAGTCCTTAATAGAACTCCATGGCAAAATGATATGCAAAATGGTGTATTCTCTGGAAGGAAAGCTGAATTACTTGATGTCTTGTAAAACTGTGAAATTCTATAGCACAGCTTACAATTGCAGAATCTGTTGTTTGGTTTGACATAACAAGTATATCATGCATGTTTTCAACAGTGTCTTCGTGGCTGTAAAAGCTAGAACATTAAAAAAACAGAACAGAAGATGGTTCCACAGCTAGACATGAATTTTGAAATGCATAGTGTTTTAACGAGATGTATTACACTGTAACATGAACAGTATATATTATTTTATTTTTCCCTGGCGATTTATTTCTTATTTTAGATTCGGGAGAAATGCGTATTTAAAAAGTTATTGCTGTTAGATTTTCATCACAACCTCTATTTTCATTTGCTTAAATTTTTCAGGAAGATTGGTATGGTTTGGCTTGTAATGTTCCATGCTTTAGCTTCCAAGTTAAGGAAAACTGAGGGGGGGGGGAGGTGCTTAATTTTGTGTTTTTGTTCCCACAATTCAGATATTTGAAACTTAAAAATGGACATACTCTAGTGTTCTGAAGTTCCCCTGAGAGTCACTTATTTTTTCTCTGGTTTTGCTTTGCACCAGTCATTTAATAGATGCCTACTGTAGTCACATGAGCATCATTGTGGACAGCTCAGTGAAAGCATGTTCCTAGTTTTTGGAAAAACTAGACTATTAGACTGTCTGAATAAGGGAATGAAAAATGAAGCGGAGGTGGAAGCGAGGGATGAGAATCAGAGACTGACAAGGATGAGGGGAAAGCTGGTGAGGACTGAAAGAGGCATCAAAGAAGATGGGCAGAGACTGGTCTTGAGCTGACAGCTGTGAAGAGTGGGGAGAGGAACTGGAGGAAGTAGGACTCAGAGTATAAAACGGGTGGGCAAAATGTGGCCCGAGGGCCAGATGTGGCCTGCCAGGCCATTCTAACTGGCCTGCGGGGCCCCTAAAAAAATTTAGAAAATTAATATTTATCTGCCCCTGGCTGCCTATCATGTGGCCCTTGATGGCTTGCCAAAACTCAGTTAGCGGCCCTCTGCCCAAAATAATTGCCTACCCCAGGTATAAAAGCAAGAGGAGCAGCACTGGTAGAGGATTGGGGGTGGAGCGAAAATGAAAGGGCACTGGAGGGAAGGAGGAAGAACTAATAAAACAGGATGGAGTGATTAAGGTAGAAAGGAGGTTGGAGAGACCAGGCTAAGGAGTGCAGAGTACCTGGTAGGAGCCAGAAGTTGGAAGGAGCAATATCAAGAAAGGAGCCTGTGAGGGACAGTCAGTGGTCCAAGAGAGAATGGACCAGGTAAGGAGAAAAGATCTAGTATTAGTGGAGAACGGCTTCCAAATGTCAATGAAAAAATGAGTCCTTGAAAAGGACTAGGAGGCTGAGCACTCTTAGGGACTTGCTACCTTGGGGGGTGCACGCTGTGGCAGGAATGGTCCTCCAGCCAAGCTGTGGCTCTGTCCCATGCCCAGCCTCAGCTGAGCAGCACTTGTCCTTGCCCCAACCCTACTCCTTCCCTCACCACAGGGGCCTTGATCTGCCCACCCACCCCCTTCCCCCTGACAGACTTACCAGCTGAACACTGCTCTCTAAGCTGCTGGGCTGTAATGGGTATTGGCTGATATGGCTGGTTAATAATGGCTGTCAGTATTGAACCAAAAAATCTTTATCAGTGCACCCCTAATAAATTGGCTGTGAGGGGGAACTGAGTGCAATGCGCACTACCATACATCTTGTTGAGGTGGGCTGTACTGGCCTATCCTTGTGGTAGGTCTCCACCACAGAATGTTTGCCCATTGTGGGCTATGAGTTTTATACTCATGCTTAGTGTTGGCTGCATTTAATGAACTTCATAGTTGGTTTCTGTTACTGAGCACATGCTGCTTTTGGCAGTAGTTTAATGATAGTGTATTTAATGAGGTTTTCTTGTATGCAAATGAAAGATGAGGAGCTTTACTTCCCCATGCTGATATGGGGGTGGGGAACGGTCATATTCAAGTAAACATGGCACTATCAGTATGATAAAACGTAGATTTTTCACATCCAGGTGGTTGACAACCAAGTCTATTCTATTCTGCAGCAGATTGCTGAGTAAAAGATAAGCGGCACACTTGAAGCTCATCAATGGTGCCATTCAGCTGATTGGAGAAGCCTCATTCTTTGAAATAAAAGCTGCAAGAAACAGCTGGAGTACCTCAGCAGTCCTATACAGCTGTCTTCTGCACCTGTAAATTCCCTTGGCTGGTTTCTAAGCCCTCATCTTTGCAGAAACTAAGGAACTAATCCCAAGGGAAATCTGCATGCTACTGTATAGTGTAGTACACCATATTCATTTGATTCTAAGACTAGATTCTCCCTCTGCATTTTACATGAGGGGGAAGCCCCTTGTCTTAGAGTATAAACGTATCAGGCAGGCAACTGCTGCGTGGCTTGGGTTCCAGCCCTTACCTGGGATTGGGGCCATAGCTGCAGCTACCAGCCACCAACCTTTCCCCATCCTTCCCATCCCCACCTGCCACCTCTGCACCCTGCCATCTGCCCCATGCAGCCATTTCTCCCCTTCCCCTGCCAGTCTCTGTTCTCCTACCTACTCACCTCCTTCCTCCCCCTTACTCATGCTCTGCCCCTGCAGGTTCTATGCACACTGCAACCTGGGGAACTGAGCATGGCCCCCAGCCCAGCCCCATAGCAGCAGTGCACAACCTGTATGCCTGTTACAGGGGCTGGGCTTGGGCTCTGCTCAGTGTCCCAGGCTAGAACAGGAGCTGAGCCTGCTGGTAGGGAACGGAGGCTGAGGGAGAAGTGTGGGAGCAGAGGCTGGGGGATGGGCAGGGGGACAGGTACAAGAAGAGGGCAAGTTACTTGACTTCCTTGTACCACCTGCCTCCTCACTGCCTGCCCCCCTGCAGCAGTGAGAAGGATGAATTAGACAACTCTCCAATAATTAGATTCTGTATATGGAAAATTATAATCTTTATAAATTTTCCATGTATAGAATCTTATTATTATAGGTAATCTTAAATTCAGGGCCATCGTGGATTCAAGTAAATATGGTAATATCAGATTTGTATTGTTTTAACACTGCCTTACTGCCTTAAGTACACATATATAGAACTTTGTAAGGGACGAATTAGCATCCCCAAACTTCAGAGAGAAGTAATTATAAATAATCTAATACCCATATTTTTCTATTCCACTGCATTTCAGAATGTTCTTTTCTTTTTCTTCAGGAACTTAGGGCACAGTCCAGCAGAGACCTATGTACCTGCTTAACTTTACCCTTCAGTTCAATTAACTTGTTTATGGCTAAGTAATGATTTAGGTACTTGTCTTCACCTTGCTGGTTTAAGTGGTACAATATACCTGTGAGTAAACCTCTTTAATAGAGATACTGCTCACACTGAAGGAATTTTTTGTTGCTGTAGCCTATACATATTCTTAAATGGAATAGGCTACTCCAGCAGGTAGGTTTTTTTGTTTTTTGTTTTTTTCCTCCCCCCCTTCTCCGCGCATTCCTAACTAGCACTTGTGTGGTAAGTATGGAATAAGCCAAGTTTTTGTTTGTTTGTTGGAGTGGTTTTTAACAAGGGAAGCACCTAATGTAGTTTATTCATATTGCTGAGAGTAGTAGATCACAGACTTCTGGGGATTTAGCATACAATGTAATACAAAGAAGAATTATATGATTCGGTATTTTTACCACCATAAAAATGGCTTTTTTATGTAAATGAACTCCCATGCTTTGTACTATGTTTAAACACTTTTACCAGCATTTAGCTATTGCATCATGTAGTCCTGATTTGCCAGACAGTTCTGGATAGGGGCAGTCTTGTGTCTGGAGCCCTGATGAGTTTAGTAAAGCTTTTCAAGTGCAGCTCACTGTAGGGTTGAGACTATATTTATCTTGTGTATACAGTAAAACTATTATGCTATAATGGGATTCCAACAAGCCATCAGGCCCATTAAATTTGTATATATGAGTTAAACTAACATTTAGGAAAAGGACCAGATGAAGACACAAATCTGGCTGCACAAAAATCTTTGTTTCTCAATTTAAAAAGCGGTATATGTGTGCAATGCTAGAATTAAATGAAAAAAACAATGCAAGTTTTTGGTTGTATTTTTATACGCCTTTAGATTGTGGCAAACTTGCTTTTAAAGTGAGATGAATAGAGCTGAATCTAAGTAAAACTAAAACTTTAATATTAAACATTAAATACTCTCTCTTTACAAAATTTTGAGAAAAATTGTACAGTTTTTATTGCATGATTCTGACACTGTATTTTAATGGAGAAATAGTACTGTGCCATATAAAAAAAAGACTTCTAAAGCGCATGTAAAAGAATGTACAGTTCAGGTTGTCCAATCACCATTAACTTCATCAGTTTCCAACTTGATTATTTTACTTTGCAAGATTGGTATGCTTTTTGAAAATTTTATTCATAGATAAATTAAAGCTGATATTAAACACTCAGTCACTAGAACAGGATGACATTTGCTCAAGAGTTCTGAAGGAACTCAAATGTAAAATTATAGAACTATTGACAATAATATGTAACTTATTACAAATGGCCTCTGTGCCAGAAGACTGGCAGGTTGCCAACATATCTTCAACACCTGTCTTCAGAAATGGGCTTCAGAGGCATTCTGGGGAACTATAGACCAGTGAATCTTAGTTCCATCCTTGGCAGATTGGTAAAGGCTATGATAAAGAATAAAATCAGCAGTCATGGACCAATATGGTATGCTGGGAAAGTCACCATGGTTTTTGTAAAGGGAAAACCTGCCTCACCAGTCTCCTGGAATTCTTTGAGGGTGTTAACAAATCTGTGGACATGGGGGATCCAGTTGCCTTGACATATGTGGATTTTCATAAAGCTTTTGAAAAGATCCCACACCAAAAGCTCTTTTAAAATGGATACTAAATTATTCTGGATATTCAAATTTCAAGCTGATAGAGCTGCAGAAAAATCTCCCCAAGCTAACTGAGTGGGCAAAGAAGTGGCAAATGAACTTCAGTGTCAACATGTACATGGTAATGCACATGGGGGGGAAAAATGATGTTGGTTATAATTTATAAACACAATGCTGTGCTCAGAACTAATTTTTATGACTCAGGACTGAGACCTTGGAGGCATAGATAGTACTATAAAAACATTAGCTCTGTGTGCAGTAGCAACCAAAAAAAAGCCAATTAAATGTTGGAATTAAAAACAAAATGCAAAACATGAAACCCACTATATGAATCCATGGTGCACCTGCATGTTGAATACTGTGTGCAGTTCTGGTTTCCACATCTCAAAAACCGTGGCAGAGAACAGAAAAGGGCAACCAAGGTGATCAGGGGTACAGAGTAGCTGTCATATCAGGAGTGTCTAGGGCTGGGGCTCTTCAGTTTGAAAGGGAGAAGACTAGGGTAGATATTGTAGAGGCTTATGAAATCAAAATGTATGGACAGAATGAATAGGGACTCCAAGTCCTAAAATACTAGAAATAGGGGGCATCCACTGAAATTAGCAAGAGACAAATTTAGAACAAACAAGAGAGAAGAGATTCTTTTTTATGTACTCTGAGCATAGTTAACTTGTGGAACTCCTTGCCAGAGGATGCTATAGAAGCAGCTAGTATGGCTAGATTTGAAAAGGGACTAGACAAAATAATGGATGATAGATTCATTAATGTCTATTAAACAGAATAGTTAAGGATGTATACTTTGACATCCCTAAACCTAAAGTGGTTGGTGGATGTCAGGGAGAGTATGATCAGGGGACAGATCACTCAAAATCAGTGGTGCTCAACCTTTTGGCTTCATGGGCCAGATAAGTGGGATGGGGCCAGTCTGCAGGCCAGGTTGAGTCCCATACACCAGGATTGGGCCCTAGGGCTCAGCAACACCCCCTCCTGCTGGGATTAGGTCCTAGCAGTCCAGCCATTTTTATGATGCATAGGGGGTACATGTACATCCCCTGAGATTGGCCCCCCTGGAAGTGCCAGCCACAAAACTGCAAGTGCTGGTGGAAACGTACTTCCGGGTTTGCCACTGGCTCAGCAATCGACTGCTGGGGGAACCCCCCTGCCTCCCCCCCGTTGGCAATCTGGTGCCCCCCCCGACTTGGGAGGCACCAGTTGCCCATGAGTCCAGCACTGCCCCCTTATGCCAGGGTCAGTCTCTTGGGAAGAGGTGGTACCAGGCCCCATAGGGATTGGTCCCTGGGAGCCTGGCAACACCCCTTCCTATGCCAGCACACTGGTACGCTTGCCCTGTGGGGCTTGGCCTCATCCTCCCCTAGCTGTCCATTTGCTGGAACTGGGCACTGGGGCTTGGAACTGCTCCCACTCGGCCCTACACTCTCAGATTGGGTGCCCAATCTAGCATGTAGGACCTGGGTCCCCCCATGGGTCTGGAAACTTTATTGTGAGGCAGCAGTGCCACTGCTCCCTGCCACAGAATTTCTAGGCCCATGGGGAGCCCTTTAAGCCAGATGACACAGTGCTGTGAGCCAAATGTGGCCCACAGGCCAGGGGTTGAGCACCTCTGCTGTAGTGGGAGTCAGCCTTTTGGCAGGAGTGCTACAACCTAGGTGTCACACCCTCACGAACTGCTAGTTCGATCCCTTTCCCCTACCTGATCAGTTGCTTATGGCCTGCCCTGTACCACCTACCACTGCTTTCTGCTTTTTGTGCACCACGTACAGAGGCTGCCCATGCCACTTGTGGCATGCGTGCTGCTGGTTGGCCACCCCTGCTCTAAGGCATCTACTATATACCACTGTTGAAGATGGGTCACTAGGCTAGATGGGCCATGGGTCTGACCCATTATGACACTTATGTTCTTGTAACAGAAAGTAGTGTTCTTTTTCCATTTGAATAAAATTGATTTCCTCATTGTCTTTCTTGTTGGGGACAAATTTATTTTTTTCAGTTGGTACAAAGAAACAGTTAGTTGACATATGTAGGTTTCTTTTTAGTAGAATTCATTTTATTTTTTTTGTTTTTTCCATGTATACTTTGTGCAATGTAAGAAGAATCCTTTCAGCCTTCCATTCAGTAATTAAGCTTTTACATAATTTTAATTAAAGTAGAAATAAATTTCAAGTTCATCTAGGAAATAGGACCAAATACATGTCAACTATATTTCCTTCCTGATGATGCACAATACACAGAGACCAGAATAATCAATTAATCATTTAATTAAAATTAATCTCTAACTAGCATATTGAATGTAACAGATTCTCTTGAAGGAAAAGAACTGAATTTTCTTGTCTTCATAATCTGACTAGAACTAAAATGAGGTATCTCATAAATGTTGTACATGAGTGTAGATATGTTAACAGTATATTCTGGCAGAGGTATAGTTAATTTAAAGCATTATGCTTAACACAGTAATGTAAGTGAACAGCTAACATAGCTTTGGTTGTTTAATATTTCATATAGTGAGTAGAATGTGCATTTGTTTCAAGTTTAGTTTCTCTTTTTTTTTCTCCCCTCCCTTAAATTAATTTGCAGTGAGAATTCTCGTCTTGCAGCAGAGGTTTACAAAGATATGCCCGAGACCAGCTTCACACGCACAATATCGAATCCTGAGGTAGTCATGAAACGCCGACGACAGCAAAAACTAGAGAAGAGGATGCAGGAATTCCGCAGCTCTGATGGCCGGCCAGACTCAGGTAATGATTCAGGCTTGTTTGCTACATTTGCTTTTGGTCTGATAACCTTTTTACTCAGAGGAAGTTTAGCACTTTTTACATCAGTTGATGAAAGCTTGTTCTTAAATCAATCCAGAGAAAAATTTCTCTTTGATTTACTGATATTAAAGCCAATGCGTTTATCTTACTAGCAACTGCTTTCTCTGACTGCAGTGTATATTACATCTTCAAAAGATTGGTTAGTTTGCAGAAATTTCCTGCCAAACTACTTAATTAATTCTGTAAAAGTTTGTAGGCCTCAATATGTTCATGTATATGGAAATATTAAGGGGTTCAAGTAAATTAAAATTAAACTAAGCTTATTCTGTATCCCTGTTTATCACAATTGTGCCAGACAAAACTGTCTAAAAATACAGTAACATTTAAATGGGGTGATTTTTCTGTTCAGGTGCAGTTACAAAGCTTTGAATTAATTCTATCATATACCTTTGGAAGAAGGCTTTTGGAAATGGTTTGATAGGGCAATCATCCCAAAATAAAAGCATAGAGAACTAGGTCTCTAAAGGAAAAGGAGAGCAGCCATTTACTGGCATTTAATAAACATCAGTTTCAGGAAATTAAACAAGGAAGGTAACAAACAAAAATCCTATGTATAAGTGGCAAAAAGGTTTTTTTATTTGAATAGGCTAAGTATGTGTAGGGGTAGACAGTGACTGACATCAGTGAAAGAAGGTGTCTATGGATTCATGCCATATACAGCTGCAAATTAAATCTGTTTCAAAGCTGAGAACTCTTAAATCTGTGGTTGCATATCTTTTCCTATGACAAAGTAGTAATGGAATTATATTTTCAAGGAGGGACGCTCAGAATTTATGCGGACAGCTTAAAACCAAATATACCATACAAGACAATCCTGCTGTCCACTACAGATACTGCAGACTTTGCAGTTATTGAAGCTCTGGAGAAGTATGGTTTGGAAAAAGAAAATCCGAAGGATTACTGTATTGCTCGTGTAAGTAAAGTTATAAAAATCAAGCTTTCCTGATTCTTATGTTTCATCATTTTTTCCTAAAGCAAGTTTAAAAAAAACAATCAAAAACAACCAACTTCGATAAATCATGACAAACTTGGGGTTTGCTTGTTTTTTGCCCTTAGCTGTGCTAGTGGTTTTTAAGGGTTTAGTTAGTTTATTTTTAATTTAAACTGGTCTTTAAAATCAGTCAACCTAAACCTTCCGAACTTACTTCATTTTTTCTCACTGCTTTGGTGCATAGTACAATAAAAGCTGTGTTAACTGGCATGTTACTAACTGAAATTCTCTGTCTGGCATGTACATCATGTATTTCTTGAGCAGGGTGGTGGTGGGGAGGTGAGAGCAGTAGCTCCCCTCTGGGCCGCACAGGTGCTGCCCAGCCAGCTGGATGCGGGACAGGGAGGGAGGGTAGGAGTTTGCACACCATCCACTACCCCATACTGCTGCCACGTGCAAGCCCAGATAACCAGAATTTTTAGATAACTGGCACCCTCCTTACCCCACTCATGCTGGATAACAAAGCTTTTATTGTAATATATTACTGATGAAAATACAGTATTAGGTATGAAAACACTGTGATTTTTATATAATTATTGCATTAATTTAGTAAAGCATACAAACTAAGGCCCTAATTCTGAAAATGTTTAAACTTGTGCCTAACTTCTTATATGTGAATCCTTCCAGTGAACTAAATGAGACTGTTCGCAAGCATTAATGTTTAGATTTGCTCCTATTGGTTTCCCTTTATAAAGAACACATTTTGAGTTCTTTTGATCTATACAGTAATGTGCAGTAAGAAAGCTATTACTGGGTGCGTCTATGCATGCACTTTAATGCTTATTAAATTGTCACAAAAAAGCTGTGCATTTTTGCTAAAGTGCATTAAAATAAGATACCCTTTTCTAATACCTCACAATGGAGATACTAAATTTAATGTGCATTACCAAAAGAGTATTAATGAACATGTAGACACGCCCACTAAAGCTAAAATTGTATGGCAGTTTGGTGTTTAATGTCAGCATATGAATATATTTTGGAGAGGGGGGAAGCTCAATAACCCCCTCTCCCTCCGATAGCATAAAAATGTGAGAAACTTAATTGAAAATAGTTGCTCTTAAGTAATTAGAATTGCATATGTATTCTTGTCTATAATTTGCCTATTAGCAGCATGGTGTAGTTGCAACAGGAAGTTTTCAGTACAACACGCTAATTAAAAAGACAGTTGCTTTTCCGTTCTATCAGTTAGCAAGGGAGATGTGGCTGGATTTGAAACAGGGTATTACCTCTGTGCTTTTTTTTTTTTTTTTGTGAACATCCTCTTTTGTATGAGTTTTTGTCAAGTAGATGTTTGGTTAAATTGAAGCTACCATCCCTCTAGCTACTAGACAGTTTTCCTTTCTTCTTGACTTCCCCAAGACTCGGTTGCTGCTGAGAAATGGTAGGGAGGATCTTTACTTCTGCTGACTTCCTAATTGTTATGAAGAAGATGGGGAGCTCCAATAATTCTTTGTAGGCTGCATTTTAAGGTTTGTCTTTTCCATGAGTGACTTAAGTGAGTAGTATCATCAGCATAAAATTGACATGATTCCTGACAGTTCACTGGTTTCCCATATAGCTCTGAATAGCAGCAACTACAAAATAGGTTTATTTTGTATTGTTGGGGGAGAATGTTGAGTTGCAAAGGCACTGCAGGCCTTCTCTAGACTTTGCAAAATACTAGTGCTTCTGTGTACCTTTGGTTTGTAGTTGGACAGGATCTTAATGTTTTAAGAAGTATTTTAATTCTTTGAAGACTTGTGTTTCTAGTACCACCAGATCCATGCCAGGGAGAGCTGCTATAGGACAGTGACTTTTTCAAGCCTTATCCTCTAAGATTAAAGGAAGAGCTTGCAGTTTCAGGAACTCTTTTGATTATGAAAGACTCCAGTGACGTTACTGCATAAAAACAGCTTGTTTTGTAGACTTAGCAGTTTTATGGAAAAAGTACTTTTGAAAGAAAATCCAAGATCTTTGTACATTACATCTAGTTGTATATTTTTTTTCTTTGAAGAGTCATTTCCACAGGTGAATTATAATTTTGTTCTGTGCTACTTGCTTGTAAAGATAGCATATTTTGTTTTCTGGCTCTTCAGAGTCAATGTAGTCAAATAACATCTTGTAGTCTTAACTAACTGGTCTGTTAGTCATGTTTTGCTTATGGTCTTACATATGCAAATGATTTGCTGTAACATTACAGTAATTGGAAAGTCTTAATTCTGGTTAAATGTTTAATAAAATTAATATTTTTCTTTTCAACTTTTATTCAGATTTCTTAGGTTTAGCTTAGTCTGCATATATCATTTCCCTCATTTGAAAACTTCCAAAAAAACATGGGAGACCAATTCAAAAGTGGTTGGCTTCATTTCACTGTTTTTCTTTTGTAATGTTTATAGTAACTTCATTTAATCATAAATATCCTTCAGCATCCATGGGAGAATTAATTTGTCCTGTTGCTTGGTTGTGCCATGGTATTATCCTAGTTTGATGCACACTTCACAACATTTTAAAAACTTGCATTAAAATAAGTCTGAAAGCTGCTTGAAAATTCTCATTCTCCCATTGTGTAGAATCTTGAAAATATAGACATTTTTTGTCTTTGTAGAGTGTAGCTGAAGTGTCTTTGGAGAAGATGTTAGTAGTTGACAGCTAAGCAGTTTCCTTAGCTGTCTAATTGGATTTTAATTTGTTTTAGTGAGGAAAGCCTTTTATGCTGCATGAACTTCGTTGTGGATATTCATGTTCAGAAGTTTCATTTGAAAGACAAACATCCTAAAAATAAGTCTGTAACACTTGCCATCGCTGACTTTTATAGTAGATGGTGCGTGGGGTCCATATTTATCATTTGTCCTATCGTCATCATTTTATACCCAATCTTACAAGGTTTCGTGAGTGCTTTTTTTTAACCTATCTAGCCAAAACATATTTCTGATGCTCATTTTCTTTGTTTGTCAGTACATCAAGTCTGAGGTTCATTGCATAACACGAAGTTCACTGCACACCTCTTAAGATGTCATATTAATTAGACATTTTTTTCCAAGTTACCTGTGCATGCTTATTTGAGTCTGACCTAAGATTTAGAGCATGCAGTATGAAAAATTCTATTTCTGGAGCTGTCGGGATTAGATACCTAGTTTAGGTACCTTATTTCTTTTGTCTTTTATATTCGAATGTGAGAATTGCTGTTCCTGTAAGAAATAAGAACAACACATGATGCTGCTGGGTCACTTTTAAAAGGCAAATTATTTTGTAGGTGTCAAATGTTTCTGCTCTTGGATATGTTCAACAGATTCATTGTTTTGTTCTTTTTTTGTTTTGGGAAGTTAAGTCTATAGCCTTTAATTCTATCAAACTGGCACGATGACCATATTATTGAGCTGTTGCTGCTGAGGATAGTGCTGTAAAAATTATGCATGACAGATTAGCCCAAATTTAAAATTTATTTTTGGTAGACATTAATAATGTGGTAGATTTTAGTTTGTTGAAAACAGTCACAGGGTAAACATCAGTCTGGGGAAATTCTGGAACGGCATTTCTTTTTCTTTCATTGCTTGTTAGAAAGTAACTAGTGACTTCGCTTATAGTTACTTTTTTTTCCCTAATACTTGTCAAGTTATAAGCCGGTACAAGGTGTAGTTTACATATGCTTGACATATGCTGCAGACCTCCATCAAGCCTGAATTCTCTGAGGATACCGTATATACTGCCCATATGGGTATGGGTTTAAGTACCCATCTACATATTATTAATATCGGTCTCCACCAAAGAGCTTATTCAATTGCCTTCTAAAAACATGGGAATTAAATTGGGCTTGGAGAAGAGTTGGAAGGAAGGAATATAAATGAAAATATTCAAGTTGCAAATTAATCTGCTCTAGTTATGAAATTCCAAATTTAACATTGTCTATTTGGCTTTTTTTGTACATACCTTATGATAGATTTTAATTGTGTTCCCCGGGATTTTTGCTTCATTCAGTGTGGGATCATTTGTATTTATCCATCCATATTTTTCTCTTCCTACTTCCATGTTTGGTTTGCAAGCCATATTCATCACACACACAATATAAATGTTTCATAGAATACAGAACTACTGGTATTTATTTTCTTAAGGGCTTTTCTCTGGTGCTTTTACTGTAGTGTATGAATGCTCAGCAAAAATTAGTGTCTTACATTCTTGGCTCTTTTTGTAGGCCATCTGCTGTTACATGTAAGACAATCTTCATACATCTTTTTTTAACTGATATAAGAATTCATATCACTTTTATCTTTTTTTTAAGTATTTAGTTGTCTTGCTTTTTAGTAGAATGTCACTTGTATAAAAATAGTCCTTGTAATAGCTTTGTATAGCTAAAAAAAAATCTCTGAAGAGAACTGACTGACATACCCATGCTTTAATTTTCTCCCTAATTAGATTGTTGTTAGCAACTTGTGCTCTTTGGTTATTACAGATAGCTAGGTGAGTTTAAGATCTTCTCATGAGCTTACAGTCATGTGATTTTTTTTATCTTTATTGATCTCGAGTCCTATTTTTCTTTCTGCTTCCTTTAATTCTCCGACCATCCTTTGTACAGAACTTCTGATGACTACAATGACCAGAGTGTCAGCATAGCCAAAGAGTTAGTGCAGGCCACTTGAATTCATCTTACTCTGTGCATTCTGCTGTGATTATTCCATTTTTTCATTGCAACATTAATGACTACTGTGGGGGTTCATCTTCCCACCGTAACCTTGTATGGATGGAGGCAGAGTTCCATACCTGTACTCTTTCTTGAACTGTAAACATGCGCTTTTTCTATCCTAATTCTTCATTTGGTTTAGAAGGTGTCTTGCAGTGTACTCTCATGTTCTTACTTATGATCTGTTGGTGTAACATCATATTTCCATCTTTTTTTGAGAAGCTGATAAGTTGGAACAACTTTTCCCAGAACCGGTCCCGTGTGTCAG